TTCCTCCACGGCTATGGAGTCAAAATAGCTCTGAGAACAGACTAACGGGATGGCCGAAAAGATGCAACCAATACCCAGGAGGTAGTGAAGGCGACCATCCTGCACAAGAGATTGGAGGTTGGGCGGGAGGGCGGCGGAGATTCCCAAAATTCCACTTACCAAAGTCGAGTGGAATTTTCGATATGAGGATATTCTAGCAATGTTCAAGTCCGACGGGAGAGGGTTTAGCCAACTGCAAATGGCAAATGCACCAGCACCTGGACAGACTTGCTTAAGATATATATATTTATGTCTATATATATGTATTTGGATATACACCCCCACGACTCCGACAAAGCGGAGAACTGCAAGGGACTCTGTACCTACCACCAAGGTACCAGAAACACGCCAAACAAAGGAGCGATGTCGAGGGGCAGCATCCCAGGACCAACAAGGTTTGTTGTTCCTGGCGAGCAGTGATGCTGAGTGAGTCCACTCCAAGATGTTCGTTCTTTGTGCACGGGCGAGGACCTTGGAGGTGCCAATACCCCCCGCCAGCATCGAATCAAAATGGCGCCATTACCATGACGACGATTGCAGAAAATCTCGGAAATCGGGCCAAATTGTTGGCACTAACTTCCCTCAAAAAGAGGACCCTCCGAACTCTTCAAGTCTCGAACTCTTAAACTCTCCGAGTGCCAGCAATAACAGCTCTCAGGTATTTCGTCGTGGAATTCGGCAGCCGTCTTGTTGAGTATTATTCATCCGTGCCATGCAGCCATAACCAGTAGAGAGAGGGCATCTTTCTTAAGGTGAAAGCAATCTTCCCCTTTCCACCCACGTTTCAACCAGAACCTGGTGGATATAACAGTGGGGAGTGGATTATCGGGCAACCCCCAGCAAAGTGGCATTTCTCGTTTGCCCCGCTCCTGGCCCACAGCTACCTGCGGTTCGCAGTTCAGCGGACATTTCCATCATGGCGAGCCATGGCATGGAACGTCTCTGCGGTGAGCTGACTATTGAATATTGAATATTGAATATTTATGCAGAGCGCTCCGCATAGCGGCGTTGGACGAGGTCAAATCATCAACCCATCGAGTAACGAATAGTGTTCGCTTGGCCCTGATGCTGACTCACCAGCAGTTGGGTGTGGTATAGTACGAGTTTCGGCAAACCGCCGTCTGCCGTCGAAGCGAGGTCAATTCATTTCTCATAATTCTGCGCCGGAAAAAGGGTAGCCATATACTTATATGTAGTAGATGTCCCTTGCGAGGAGGCAAAGAAAGAGAGAAAACAAAAAGAAAAAGAAAAATAGAACAAAAAAGAACACGCCAAGAAGCAAATTTGTTTTTTTTTTTTCCATTTTGAATAGTTTCATACATAAGGAGCTTTTCCCCCATTGGTTAACTATCCCCTCGTCTGGCCGCGAGGACACAATTAGTGTATTTTTTAGTGTGTACATTAGTGTATTACATATATGAAAACTACTGGACCATATGAGAGATCAGCTGTATTAATGTGTTTTAGTAATCATTAACTAACTACAACTGTACACATCTGTAGTTCTAATTAATATGATCAGAATGGAACTTCTTTCAACATTCTTGCTTCAAGCAGAGAGCAATATTGCTGCATACTGCACAACTATATCTTTGTGATAAGATAGCACTATAACCACTAGATTATTCAAAAAGCCAACATAGCCATTTGTTAAATGGTTGTGCTTATAGTATCTGTGGGTGTGGTGGTGTACCGTGTGGCCCAGCCCACAGCAGGCATGGCCACTCAAACCACCATCTATCTATACACTGACAGATTGCTTTCACTTTGCATCTATTTTTGTACTATCTAATAAAAAAATTAGATCAATCAATCTGAATAAAAGAAGTATTAAGAAATTGAAAATCATCTATAGAAGTCATATTTCTTTCTTGAAGCAGAGTGATCAGAGTGATAAGAAGATCATGAATATGAATGAATCAAGATGAGAAGATAGCAGATTACTAAGATAGTGAAGCAGTATCAACAAATCAGATTACATAGAATTTAGTATGAAGAATTATTGGTTGGTACATCAGAACTAACAGCTTGGTTGTTACACTAATTGTATTCGCTAATTGTGTCCTCGCGGCCAGACGAGGGGATAGCAAACAGCACACCCTTGATGTGATCTTCTACACTCTAAGTCTTACATACAGACTGTAGAAAGATTTCATCTGTGCCAGAGTGGAGATTTACTTTATTTGCAGAGGGCACATTTTGCCATATAATGGGGAATCTGTTATGGCTTTTCATGGTACACAGTACAATGTTTCGTCCTGGGGCCTTCAGTCCAGTTGCCCGTCCCACAGCCATGGGCAGGATGAATCATGAATGATGCTTGATAGCGGAAACATCCTCCTAACAAGGCAATTTTTTCCCCTACAGCCACAGGATATGAGAACAGCAATATCGAGAGTTGAGAGAAGAGTCCGGGAGGGTTAAATGATAGAATGATGAAACGGAGTGTGCGAGATTGTGCTGCGTATATCGAGATTCCATGGCCGGTAGAAGTGCGGAAGTCAATTGCATCCCTCCCTGACATCTTCCTTGTTCACAACCACCACATCTGCACCTTCATAACATGCAGCTAAGACACCTAGCACGATCACTAGAGTGTTCGAATGCTAGATGCTAGGTCATCTCATGGCCTTATACTCGATTGCCTCCATGCCAAAGATAGCTAACTAGCATATCTCCAACTCATCTTCTTTGCTTCTTGAGTGAGCATGGGATCCCCTATCCGATGACATATCTTACAGGAAATAACACCACAGCAGCTCCGCAATTCTCACTTCATGAGAACTATGAAATTCGAAAATCCGGAACGACACCCCAGAGGTTCATATATCATTGGCGGCTTCAAGAAGATTTCCGGGGCCATATTGCAGACCAGCAGCACCACATCGCAGAGTGATCTCTTTTTTTCTTTTCTTTTTCTTTCTTTTTTCTTCTTTTTTCTCGATTGTTGGATACGAAGCTAAACAGCGCTAAATTCTTCTCTCTGCACGAGGGCTTGCAATCCCGATTGGTCTGATGTCATTAGCATCAGTTTCAACAGTGAGCTAACACTGCAAGCTCCAGGCATTTTATCCGGTAATTCGTGGAATAACACCGAAACCTGCTCCGCTCCCCGTCCCACCACGGCTCTTCCAATCCTCCATTCCCGCATTTTTCGTAGTTGCCCTTAGAACGATCTGGGGCAAAAGTGCGCACCTTGGCTGGTTGATCGATGCTCGTGGATCTGGAGAACCTCAAAGCACGGCGTGTGGATTGCTTAGAAAAGGCGTAGATAAAGCTGCGAAGGAGCTGCTTTAGCATGTAATGTGAGCTGCGCAGGAGAGTTAACCGCATGCTGAAAAAATAGCCCGACTTACCCGGCAACACGGCCGTCGGGATGATACAGGAACAACGTGACGGGGTTTCACTCGAGAATAAAAGGCGGTGCTACTCTGTTCGATGGAGAAAAACAAGAGACGCGTGCCCCCTGATAAGCGGAAACGCACCGAAGTTAGTTGCGATAAATGTAAATCGCGGAAGCAGAAGTGCGACAGAGTTCAAGGTCAATCGGCTTGTCGGTACTGCCAATTAAACGGAATCGCATGCAGCACCAACCTCCCGCGCAAGCAGCGGATATATGGCAGCGATGAGACCCTTCGCAGCAAGCTAGCCCTTCTGGAATCCCTCGTCAAGGCCCTTGTGCCAGACGCTAACCTGTCCAGCAATGATGAGATGATCAAATTGGGAAAATCTCTAGGAATTTCACTTCCGAATGATGGCACGGGGGCCGACGTGGAGGTGGAGGAGGAGGAGAAGGGCGAGGAAGGGGGAAAGAAGAAAGAGAAGAAGGTCGCCAATGCCCACGAAGAAGAATATACTGTTTCGCTGTTCCCTGATCAGCAGGGCCAAATCCAATACATTGGCCCTTCAAGCTCATTTGAACTCCATCGGAAATTGCGGATGCTGTTGGGAAGCTACGTGAGCTTCGAGTTCACGATGTTCGGCCACAACGCCGCTGACCAGCCTAGCACATCGGACACATCCAGCGACCCCCAAATGGGTAGTGGGAGGGATCTGCGAGAAAGCAGGGAGTTGAGTAATGTGCCCAGCGACTGTATTTCCCTTTCATACCTCCTGAGGCACAGCGATGGGGCCATCCTGGATCCGCTGGTAGATGCCTTCTTTGATATAATACACTCTGACTTCCCGGTCCTGCATGAAGGCTCATTTCGCGAGTCGTACGAAATATGGTCCGCGACAGTCTCAACTACAGATCCTGCCTGGTTGTGCGCTTTAGTATGTGTGCTAATCCTATCCCATCGAGTCGCCCCCATTACAGTGTCGAACGAGACAGAGAGGCGATGGTGGCGATACGTTCAAGCACTGCTCCCAGCCGTCCTCTTTACGACCAACCTCTCCACCATCCAGGCTCTCATGCTATCGGCATTGCATTTACATAATACAAATCACCGAGACGCCTGCTGGAATCTTACTGGAACGGCAATTCGTGTCGCCTTTGCCATCGGGCTACATCGTGACGACGTCAAACACCTACAAGGCCCTTTACGAAGGGAGCTTGGGAAACAGCTGTGGTGGACATTATATGCATTCGAGTTAATGCAGGTTTCATCGTACGACCGGCCAAGCGCCATCGGAGATATGGTGACATCGACCAGCCATCTAAATGAAAGGATTATAGGATTTGCGGGACATTACCCCCAGGACTTTATGAAATGGTCGCAGCAGCTTGTGCTGCTCTTGGCGTCGACGTGCAAAGCGTTAAATCAAGCGGGGACGGGGATCCTGTCGGGTGAAGATGCGTACAGAAGGCCGCTCTCCCCGGAAGCTGGTATTCTGTGCGACCTTGGCCGGTGGAAGGAGAATCTTCCGCTTCACTTGCGCCTCAAGGTTACGGATTCGCTGGCGCCATCCTCTCGTCGACCCGTACTTTTGCTTCATGCTCAGTATAACTATGTAGTAGTGTTGATCGCTAAGCCAGCTTTGCTGCGCAGGGCAACCAGTTCATCCAAGGTTGTCAAGGTGCAGTTGCCACAAAGCCTATACACAGTATCGGAAACATGCGTTGAATCCGCACGGGCCCTGGGATCAATTATGTTGAAGTTGGAAGCTTACGATCAGTTCAATGCGTTGACCTGGTGGGACATTTTTTATACCTTAATATCCTCAATGGCCCTGGTGCTGGACATCTTTTGCCGCGTCAATCAACATGGGCGCTCTCGGGATTCATTGGGTTCGCAAGCGTTGCTTCGAGAACTTGCAGGCCTAATGTCGAGGCAGCTCCAGAATCCAAGACTGCCAGGTACCATGCGGACGTGGGCCGCGGTAGTGGTGGAACTCAACTCAATGACGGAGCGTTTGGGATCGATGCCTCAGTCTACTATCGCCTCAAGTGAGGCTTCGGGAGATCGGCATGTCTTGGACACTGGGAGTCCGTATTCATTCCCGATTAACCCGACAGGAAACAGTCCGATTGAACCCATCACTTCCAACGATTTCAACCTTGCATGTTCTCCGATGATCGCCGGCATGGACAACAAAGTATGGCCGACCGTCTCGCGAAAATAAATAACGCCATAGTTCGGTTTCAAAGATGGCAATGTCAGGCCGTTTTATCTGCCGCCCAAGCTGACAGTTGTTTACTTTCATGGAGACCTTATGTAACCCCGCATCTGTTGCGGATGCACTCCGTACGGATGTATGCATCCGATAATTCAACCATGCCTCATGTCACTGGATGGCATTTGGGGAAAGTCTGTCGGGTTGGTGGACAAAACGCCCAGGTCATATCAAGGCCCAATCCTTTTATACATTTATGCGCTGGATTCCGCCATCTTACTAGTATTCCGCATCGGGGGATTTAGTGACTACTAGTTGTCCTTCCTAGTCTCCTGCATGTCGGTTCATGGAAGATATGATGAAGAGTTAAATAAAAATTAGATGCCCGGGACTTCGCTTTTGAAGAAGTCAAGGGGACAGGGCGCAAACCGTTAATTCACTCTCATTTCTCTGACAACCTCAATTTTAATACGGGATCATATCCCAAACCGGTTGCCATACGGATGTTGATTACACTGCCCGGGGAAAGTGAGCAGATGGGGTTTCTGAAGTCGCAGGAACGAAGGAAGGCTACCCCGTCCACCGGTTTGTCACTCCAGCCACTCCCAGCCAATGCAACCAATTGGGAATATAATGAAGAATTGACTTGTTATATGCGCTCACCCACCGCCGCCAAAACTTGCCCGTGATTTTCCACCTCTGCCGGGGCGTGTTCTGAATTTGTGACATCGCGGTGACTTGATCTTTCAAGCGGTTGGCGGGCTAACCACAAGCAGCAACAGCGGACCTTGAGTGGGATGAGTTCTGGCATGCTTTGTGAGCGGGTTAGAGAAAAGCTAAAACTCGGGGGACGGGGGGCGGGGAGTTATTCTGTTTTATACATGAATTCATTGGGGTTCCTTTCAATGCCGTCCATTTACCATTTACGACTAGTATCTCTCAGCTACGTACTTAGGAGTTCCTAGGGATTCGTTGAGATATCTTCGCTAAATAAACTCCAAGGAGACGGTGGCAGGTAAATTGAGAGTGGGAGGGAAGTGTGTAAAGGGCTATAAAACAATCATGGTACCTTTCTTTACCTTGCACTCTAAACACCGCGCATCGTACAACTGGATCTGAACCTGCTCGCGTCAATAATAATAATAATAACAATAATCTTCATAGCAGAAGTATGGCACTCCTAAGCCGCAGGGCATCGGAATTATGCAGCCGGCATTTGCAGGGACATGGCCCGGTAAATGGGACTTTGTTTCCAGAATGGCTCCGCACCCCAAAACCTGTTGATATCTCCTCCCGCGGCGCATAATCTCCCGATGGAATGACATGACAATTTATGCATGGTTTTTACATGCACGAGTGAACGAAATCACCCAACAGCCATGCCGTAGTCGACACGACGGGGAGGTTGCGAGTCGAACATTGGAGGAATGATCCTTATTTATATCCTACGGCACAACGCACAGCACGTCCCATTACGATTATTATTATTCTTCTTTTCTTTCTTTTCTCTCTTTTCTTCTCTTTTCTTCTCTTCTATTTTCTTTTCTTTTCTTTTCTTTTTTTATTTTAAAAAATAAATAAAAAGAATGAATGAAATAAATAAATAAAGAATGAACCCTTCTCTGCCGTGGGGCATTTTCAGGCTGAGATCTTCACGACCAGCTCTGCAAAGCAAAGCGGGTTCTTCCTGAGGCCCCATCAATCGGCTCCACCGATGTCCATGTCATCGAGGCTCGACCCGTCCTTCAGCATCGCCATTATCGGCGCAAGCATCGCGGGCCTCGCGCTCGCCATCGGCCTCCGCAAGCAAAATGCCGCGTGCAGATACACGATCTACGAGGCCGCGCCGCAGTTCGATGCCGTGGGCGCCGGCATCTGGATAGGCCCTAACGCTCTGCGCGCGATGGAGCTCATGGACGCGGGCTTTGCGGAACTGTACGGCCGGATCAAGGTCGGGAATGCGTGCGGCGACCGCCGGCATGAGCAGTTTGAGATACTGAGTGCCGCGCAGGGGTTTGGGGCGCTGGATGGCTGGCGGGGCGGGTCGGTGTCGCATCGGGACTTCGAGAGGAGTAGTGCACACCGCTAGGCGCTGCTGGAGGTGATGAGCGCGCTGGTTCCGGGTGGAACGGTGCAATTTGATAGACGGGTGATGTGTGTTGAGCATGTGGAGGGCCAGACGCGGTTGTGTTTGGCGTTTTCGGGCGGGGAGGCTTGTGTGATGGTTGATACTGTGGTTGGCTGTGATGGGATTAAGGGGGTTACAACGCGCGTGGTGCTTGAGATGGAGTATCCGGAGGAAATTGTTGCGAAGTACTGTCGTACTTATGTCTACAGGAACATCGTGCCGATGCAGGAAGCCAAGCGAATACTGGGCTCGTATGCCGACAATGCAAAGTGGTTCATGGGCGAGGGGCGGGGAGGTGTAAATGTATGCCATCTCCAAGGGAGAAGAGGTGAATGTGGTTGTTTTCATCCAGGATGAGCGGCCCTGGGTAGGGGAGCAGGCGGCAATGCAGGCTTCAAGGGAAGATATGCCTTCCGACTTCAATGGCTTTGATAAACGGCTATTAGGCCTGTTAGATGTAAGGCTGGGCGTCTTCTTCTTCTTCTTCTTCTTTTTTTTTTTTCGGTCCATAGACATGTATATATATATATATATATATACATTTGTATCCCCATTTCAATCACTAAAATAATATTCAAACCAGATGCTAACACAAAAGGAGTAATATATATATGAACAGAGCACAAAACCTCTCCGATGGCCCCTATTCCACCATCCTGATACCTCAACGTATTACCGCGGCCATGTCTGCCTCCTCGGGGATTCAGCCCACGCTTCCAGTCCCAGCCAGGCGGCCGGTGCCGGACTAGGGCTGGAAGATGCGCTGGTCATGTCTAGGCTTCTCGGCCTAGTCAAGAAGCCGGAACAACTTGAGGGTGCCTTTGAGGTGTACAATTCCATCCGTCAGCCCAGCGCGCAGGCCGTGGTTCAGGGGAGCCAGGAGGCACTCCTGGCCTATTTCCTGGTCCACGCGGAGTTTGGCCACGACATCCAGAAACTCACAGACTATGCAAACACAAGGCTGTCATTGATCTGGTTCCATGAATTGGAGGGTGATGTGAAGACGGCTGGGCAGCGGTTTCGGGAGCTGACTGAAGCAGCTCAGCCAGACAATCGAGAACAATAGGGTAAAATAGGTGACAATAATAAAGAAGGACTAATGTTAGGAGACCCTGTGGACACCTTGACATACACGTTTTATGCTCTTTTTCCATGAAGATAATGAACTCGAGACCAGAGCATCCATGGATTAGTCATAACCAGTCATCCATCGCAGTACAGAGGATGTGCAGCGTAGAGGCCCGCATCAGCTTCAGGTACTGTGCACTGCGTAGGCAACTGAGTTGGCAACCCCCCCCAGTCGCACTATTGAAAGCCCAAGAACACCGTAGGTCCCTGGGGCAGGGATACTCGGGAAGTGAGATGACAGCTGGCTGGGGTCATTTCAGTGATAGCAGAGTAGCCAAGAGCAGGGCAGAGAAGGGCGCGTTTCTGATATCCCCTCGTCTGGGGGCGAGGCAACAATTAGCGTATTTTTCTGCCACCCCAATTCATGACTGCTTACTGGCTGGAAGCCGATAATTCAGCTTGCCTATTGGCCATATAAAGGCGGCCAGGCACGACGCTAATTGTTGCCTCGCCCCCAGACGAGGGGATAGGCAAAGGTCTAAAGGCAGTTGGGTAGGGGGAACACTCGTTCTATGGCCAGCCATGTGACAGTCGCAGCGGGAAACCAGAGAGTCAAGCAAAGCTGCCATGTCATGTCTGGGGGACACAATGGAAGTGAGTTGATATTCCCTCCTAGGGACGTGATATTGATAACTATGGTCTCAACAGCAAACGGTGTTGCGACCCAAGGAGGGATGTGCCTGCGAACCAGGCGTTAGGGCTGGCATGATCCTGAGTTGGGGACACGGACCCCGTACAGGCACTATCATACTACGGAGGAGAGATGTAAGTAATTGTTCTCCGAACACAAAACACAAGGCGACCATCCACGGACTCTATGATTTGTGGGTTTGCATATAAATAGTTTACTCGTCAGCTAGTTAGGAGTTTAACTTCACTATGAGCAAGTTAACTAGTTATGGTTGGTTAGTCAGGGATGACCAAGGCTGTTTAAGCGGCAACACTAGCCGGATCAGGAAGCAGGAGCGGGGCCCAGGGCATTCGGCCTAGGGGGCTCCTGATTGGCGGGCAGCGGTGGAGTGGTAATCTCCACCGCCAACGACACCCCTGCGGGTTAATTTGGGACCAGCCCCACGGCCCAGGGGTTCTTACAGCCACGACATCACTGCCATCTGCCCCCGCAAAAAGGAGCGTGGCATTAGAAGTTCACTCTGGCTGTGGCAGTATCGGCCGTCAGCACAGCCCCCTGCCGCCCAGCCAGGGGGGAATCGCAAAGGGGGTGACTGCGAGGGTACATCCATCGCCATACAGGGTCGCGGCGCCCGACATGTCACTGCAAGGTCACCTACAGGTCTCACCGGCGGCTGTCTGGCCTGGCCTGGCCTGGGCCACGGGGGCTCTCCAAAGCCGCCAAATTTCCCGTCTCTGGGCTGATGATCCTCCTCTTTCCTTCCTCTTTCTCTCCTCCTCTCCTCGCCTCTCTCAACCTCTCAACCTCCTCACCTCAACCCTCAACCCTCAACCCTCAATCCTCAATCCTCAATCCTCTGCTTCTTGACTCCTTTCTCCTCGTTCTCTTCCTCTGCACGCCATCCCGTGCCTGCACCAACAGAGTCCAACTACAGCAACAACCCGCACCAAACAAAGCGCCCCGGCCCGTCCTGGAAAACGCTCCCCGACCGTTGCTGTGTTCCACCTCTCAATTGTCACCACAATGACTGTGGCTGCTCTCCTCCGCGTCTAATCCACCTTTCTATACTAGAGAAATATCTTCCCCTCTAGCCCGGCTGCTGCATACACACACTCGTTTCTCTCTCTCTCTCTCTCTCTCTCTCTTTTGTTATATTCATCTCTAACTAGTCGCTCGTTTTATTTGTTTGTTTGCGCTTCCCCGTTTTTCCTCAGTCTCATTTGCATTGCCAGCCGTTGATCGGCCTCACTCGAGATCAACCAACCAACTAACCCAAAACAAATCCAATCGGCATATTTTATATCAATGCTCTGCTGAGGAATTAACGACTACCTGACTCCTGCTTCTTGTCTGGTCTTGGATCTTTGTGTGTTCTCTCGTCGTTCTCCCTACCGTTTTGCCGTCCTTTTTGTTGGCTCTCCGTACATCGAATCACCCACATCCACATCCTTCAACATGGCTGCTCCTCAAACAGAACTCCGTATGTTAATTCATTTTTGATATATATTATCTACCAGGGAAAATGTGGGGGATGGGGGAAGAGAAGAAATGCTGATTTATAGGTTTTGTTCTAGAATATGGTCGCTCTCTCAATTCTCTATTTCGTCGATGTGTCGTCAATTGCCCGTCTCAGCCTCCACCCTGCCCTGAGTGCGCCGAAGGAGAAACTTGTTCCTTGATCAGCCAGTCCTGTCAGGCGTGCCAGAAAACGATCTGCATCAGTCTCGGGCAAGTGGGAGGTGGGAGTAACTCCGAAAAGCCGGCGTCTTCGAATATCGGCGCCATCGCTGGTGGGGTCATTGGTGGTCTGGCCGTGATAGCTGTCTTTCTTTTCGCCTGGTTCTACCTGCGGAAGAAACGTGCGAACAGCGCTGCTAAACAGAAGTGGGAGGCCGATTCGTATGAGAAACAGGAAGCCGCATCTTTGGCCCGTACCAGTGTCGCACGGCAATCAACCGTTGGCTCAATTGCGTCAACTGTCCTCACCAGGGCGTCGAATGTCATCCAGATCGCCTATATTCCAGGCGTCACCAACCGCTCTCCACCAGACACTCCAGGTCTCCTTGTGCCTCCAGTTCCTCCCCTCCCTGGAGCCAATGGAGGCAATTACAGCCAGGATCAACACTATTTCATGCCCGGTGACATCCGTGATTCCGTGTGGTCTCAGATGACAGAGGATGACCGTAAGAGCATCAGTCCCAGTCTTGCACGCAGTAGCGTGGCTACCACCATTTACCGCCACGACGCCATTGTTAGCCCCGTCCCTGCTCAACAGGCTCTTCGCGCCAAAGCTGCAGTCGTCAGTGTCAAATCGGGTGCTGCCACTCCCATCGAAAGCTCTCGCTCCTCAACTCCAGTCGTTCCCCCCATTACTGCCATGCAAATCGACAAGGCCAAAGCGGTGGGCGCTAAAATAGAAAGGAGGAATGACAAGGCCGCCAACGAGAAGAAGTTTGCGGGGTCTATCGTCGCCCGCTCTATGGTTGCACGCCCTGTCAACCTCACCAAATCTCCTCAATCGCCTGGGTCCCCTCGATCCCCTCGATCTCCCCGATCGCCTCGATCCAAAGCTAGCACCATTTCCGAGGGTGACGAGTTTTCCAGCCCTAGAATTACCATCTCGCAAGCATCATCGTTAAGGAATGAGCCCGCTAGAATTGCTGAACTGCCCGGGGATCTGTCTACAGTCCCTCCAAACCCCTCCAAGATTGCGGAGTTGCCTGGCGACCGGCCGAACAATCGTCAATCCGGCCAGTCCGTCGCGGTCACTGTCATTGAGGATTCGCCATCCACCAAACAGAGTCCCTTCGACGACAAAAATGAGGTCAAGCCCTGAAACTGCGGAGTCAACAACAAATAATATATATACATATAAATGTTTTTGTTGTTTTTTTTTCTTTTAATATTTTTTGCGAGGGTGATACTCCAGAAGGATTTGCATAATCCTTTCTTTTTTCTTTTTTTCCAAAAAAAAAAGGAAAAAAGAAAAGAAAAGGGCACATAGACACACAGCTCCTCACACCCTGCGTTCTGGACTTGATTCAATTTGAAACACTCAATGAAGACTCCGGGGCGACTTACGACTGACGGGGCGCAATGATCGTCGAAGTTTTTGGCTGGGATTATAAAATGGCGCAATATGGGAAACACTCAATAGTTTGGGGGGTTTTATTGGATATTTTTCTTCTTTCTTCTTTCTCTTTGTTTCTTTCATACAAATGACTTATAGTATTTTGTTTTCCACTCTCTTTCCTTTCCTTTCCCTTTCCTTTCCATTTTAATCCTCTCTTCGCGCATGTTCGACATTCCATGCAGCCACCGTTTTCCTTACCCTTTTTTCTTTTTTTCCCTTTTGCTCAACGTACGCTTTGTCCACGCGTAAGCGCGTTTCAGTTGATCCTACCCTGTAAACTTTGCCGGGGACGAATCCCGATGTTGGATTTACAACCCGTTCGTTTACCAGATTCGTCTATGGATATTTATAGCAAACATGGAAGATTCGCCCTTCACTGTCATCGGCCTACTCCTCAGTTGGCGGTCGGTGGTTTCCTCAATTCGTTGATATAGTATCCCACTAGATATCCTGATATTTTCCTCGTAGGAAAGAAATATGAGCTGGTTTTCTATTATTGGAAATACATCGGAACATTCCTGAAATCAGAGACTTGTGTCAAGGCCCTTCAGAGTGCCTCACCCTGCTTGCCCAGAGAGACATGCATGGGATTGCTGCCTAAGTCCACCAAGGCCGCCACATGACCTCGTGTCCCCTCCGCGTCAGCCACTAGGCCGCATACGGTATAATTGGATGAGCGTCGGCAATTCGCGCGTCCGAATCCCCCGCCCCGACGCGTGTCTCGGCGGTGTGTTGGCATCTGCAGGATTTGGTTTTGGTTGTTTTCTGCTCGTTTCCCTGCTGGTGGCCCCAGGGATCGTGTGGGGATGGATGTTCTCATTGGGGAGTATTTGCCTTTTGCCGGGTGAGTCATTTGTACATCACCTTGCTTGGGGCGGAAATTTGTTAGGACTCGAGGTTGGGGGCTTGACCGAGGTGGTTGGCGGGGGGATGAGTTGGAAATTATCCAGCCTTGGTCTTGTGGCGACTTTAGCTTTTGGGGGAGGAGGGGGGATAAGATTCAAGAGAATGAATACGAGGAGGATCAGAAGGTTTGGGATAAGTTTTCGCTTGGGAGGAGGATAAACCAAGAATACAGCCCGGCCCGACAGAGCCCTGCAGAGGAGAGGGAGGGAGGAGATGGTGTATAAAAGCATCCTTGATTCCTCCCCTCTCCTCCTCCCATCATCTCAAACTAGAGTCCTATAATCTGTCTGCCCTTCTCAATCCTTTGCACACCCCCCCGACCCCAGCGTCAGAACAATCCCCCATCTCCATCCCTAATCCACCATGGCTAGCAGCTGGACCCCTCCTCCTTTCGGCGCCCCCTGCTGGGTCAACGTCCCCGTCACAGACATGGCCCGTGGTATGACGTCTCGCATGCAACTGACAAACGAGGTTCGCCGGCTGACACATCTCACCTAGCCAAATCATTCTACACCAAGGTTTTCAACTGGGACATTCTGCCCCAGCCCGCCAACCTGGATGAGAAGCAAATCGTCCTGTTCAGCTTCCCCAAATCCGACTCCAGCCCCAATGCGTTTTGCGGCAGCTTCGAGCGCGTCGAGGCCGCCGCGCACACCAAGAGCGACAACGGCTATAAGATGTATTTCATGGTGGAGGACGACCAGAAGACCGCTGAGGTATGTTTTGCGTTGTTGGGATTTTATTTTTGTCGCACACCCAATATTCCCCCGCCCCTCCCCCCTACGTGGGTTTGAGGTAAAAGGGAAAAAAAGGAAAAAAACGGGAAAAGCTCCTGACTAGCTCTTCTGGATAATAGGCAATCATCGCCAATGGCGGAGCCAAACTTAGCGATCCCGTCCCGGAGGGGGACCATGGATTTATCACCCAGTGCCGCGACTCCGAAGGGAATTGCATCGGTATCTATGTTATGAAGAAAGCATGTTCGTGAAAGACAGGCGGGCAGGGCTGGGGGACTCCCTTGGCGAGTTCAGCTTGGGTGCACTTGTTGTAGGGGAGAGTTTCACATTGGCGCTGCTTGAATGCAAATTGCCACATCTGCCTGGTTTTTTTTTTATTGAAAAACAAACAACCAACACAAATTGAATCTTTGTTGTTGGCTCTCTGTCCCCGGTAATGATGTATGAGATGGACATAATAATAGTTGATCTTTTGCACAGTTGTATAGCTTTGACTGAACAGGTGACATCATGTTGCTTTTGAATTGATTAATTCTGATTCAGGGGATCTTATTATTGTAGATGAGCTATTTGCCGAACTGCGTAGCGCCAAAGGGTATATCAGACTGTGTGGCTAAGTATCTTTGTGGGGAAATATGCCGTGAACACATTGGAAACGAACAACAGCCCACGGAAATTTAGCCGCAGAAAGGCAACCACCAGTTTTGGTTGTGTATATCATTGATTTCCCATCCGCTCCCACATGCCCGTATTATTCCCGACCCACGCATCCAAAACCTGCAGTCATTCTTACTGATACATCAACCAACCAACTTTTGATCTCTTCTTGTTTACACAGGCGACACAGAGGCGGCCTGGACTTGCCAGCTGCTCTTCCTACAAGATGGAGCCGCCCCCAAGTCCCCGTGAACACTTGGCTGATCGGTGTCTGAGAAAGCAAACTTGGAGTCTGGAAATCACAGTGCGCCGTGTAGGCTCATACCCGGTCCCTCCCACAGCCCGGAGTCAACATGACTTGCCCAGCTCGACTAATGCATAATTCATTATTTTCTCCTCGTCCAGTTGCAAAGGAAACATCACTCCGATTCGGACTCCTCCGGTTGCATGATCTTCTCATCCAGCTCCTATAGGCCAGACACATCATATTTAGCATAGATCGAACTTATATATATACATAGCAATCGCAGACGGGGAGGGGGTGTATATAAATGGTCAAACCCACGTTACTCAAGCGCGCCTTCAGATGCGGCAACTGGCTTTCCTTGATCACCAGATGGCGCTCGTCATCGAGGTCCTCGACGATGTAATCGTGCCGCTCCTGGTCGTACTTTAGGATTATGGCTTTGACGGATGGGTCGCATTCTATCAGGACACCTGGACGGGGGAGAAAGAAAACAGAGGGAGATTATGTTAGTTGGGAGATTCATTTAGGTGCATTTGTTTTAGGCCGGTGGCCTAGGGTACACACCTTTTACAGCGCGTGGCATAGCTGGAGCTTGGTGTGGGAGAGAAAGACTTGGAGTTGAGGAGCCGTCATGATAGGTGAAGAAACAATCCTGGAAGATCTCGAAGTCGCAGAACGTGAACGGAGCTACAAGGCTTGGCGTTGAAGTAGGGAGTCATGTGATTCATCTGGATCATCAAAACTTTGAATCTGCGAAACTGCGAAACTGCGAAACTGCGAAACTTCCATCCATGCAGTTTCATGTATCGCTCACTTCAGGGAAACAAAACAGCGCTACGAACAGGCGTGGCGGGGTGGCTGCGGATTCTCTCAACCCCAGTGATACTCATAGCAAATTTGTAAGATGCACGAGCAACACCTCCATCCACAACCCGTCTTTATGTTGGACCGGCGTCGTTTCAGGATGAGAGAACCCTCCTGCAATTTCAATACCAAACGTCAACCGCCCACGCCTCTGTTTCAAATCAACAGGCGCCCTGACCCGGCCAGCTGTTTGCGGGATACTGGACAGCTGATGCGTCGATCTTGATATCCATTGTTTTATCTCTCCCAAAGGCGACGCTGAGCCGACTTTCCTCCCCACGCAATGCGATGCAATGTGGTGAGGTAGCGGCATACCCCGTATACATTACACTTTTCTGTTTGTTTCGCGGGATATGCTATATGGACGGATGCCAGTGTGAGACACATTTAACTAGATAAGGACTCTTGATGTGGACGCGAATCTTGTGATGAGAAAATTGCACGGTTGAACCTGCCAAATCAAATGTACGTGGAGAATGTTGGCCAAGTCAGAGCACACCCCTTATGTACTTCGTATGCCAATGTTTGACACGGAAGAGATGAAACATTGGGTTGATGTCCAAAATATATCCATTGTTTGGATGAAGCATTGGTTGCGGAGCACGAAGCATAGGATAAGCTCTTGAGGGTTTGGTGTCATCTCGCTCTGTCTTATACTCGACTTGAATTGTGGATGACACGGAGCGCTAAATATATAATGACTCCTGTATATCTATATCTATATCTATTATATCATATGCGTCATGTTCTTCATGCCCTGTACGGGGTACATGGATCGGGAACACAAAACGATCCACCCAAGCTTTTCCTTTCCAAGCTGAAGATCAGCAACTAGATTCTAAGCTTTCCATCTAGTTATGCAAGATCTATCATCTCACGCATGCCAGATGCGCGATCCTAAACTCCGCTAACTCGTTGCATACTGGCTTGGCGTGCGGTGTTCCCTGTCCTTATTGTAGACGGGCCCTTGAAAACGAGCGAAGGGAGTCGACTTACAAACTAGGTGATGTGGATTCAATTTATGAAAAATTCGCATCGCCGCAGTTCTAGCGCCTCTGCGGTTCCGTTGGTAATTGAGGGAGGCGACGTGTAGTCTGATTCGTTCAACCCCGTTTCTGGCGACTTTAGCTCGTTACACAGGACGAAAGACATTCCCATCGCGGATGTCCGGATGTATCAGTAGATTTTCATATTCATTCATAAACAAGCTGCGAATAAATTACGAGAAAATTGTTTGATACGAGATTTGGTTGGGAATGAAGCACATAGTTTTCGGACAAGTAAAAATTTTATTAATTAAACGTATGTGACATGAATGTAGGTGGGTATGTTGCTCTTCGGTTCTGTTCTGTTCTGTTCTTTTCTTCTTTTGTTTGAAACGTGACAACGGAAGGAAGAGGGTATCAAAATGGGAAGAAAGGGGAAAGGGGCGAGGGGGGAGACAAGATTGGATGAGATGGAAAGAGTTGGTAGTTAAAAATATGTCAGTAGATGCGGTTGATGAGAGGTACACAGGGTATATCCTGAGAAGACGCGGTGCGGGGGTAAACTAGGGATGGATTTTTCAGATACACATACAAGCGTTGATATATGGTGGCCCCAGATATCAAGGTGGAAAGAAATGGAGAAGAAAAAACAAGTCAGCCCATGAGAAGCTTGACGATGGAAAAGAACCTGCCTGCCTGATGAAATGGAAACGGATACACAAATAACCTCCTGAAGAGTTCTAGAAGTGAGGCGTATTGAGAGCCATGACCATCAACAGGCCGGAGAGCAACCCAGCGATCGGGAGAGTCATGACCCAGCCAAACAAAATGTAAGCTAGCTGCCTCCAGTTGACGGCTCCAAGATCGTAGTTCATCAGGGCGGTGCCCATAGTTGCGCCAGTGAGACACTGGGTGGTACTGACGGGCAGACCAAGACGAGAGGCCATGAGGACAGTGACGGCGGCGCCAAGCTCCATGGAGAAACCACGAGTAGGAGACATCTGGGTGATCTTGTTGCCCAGGGCTCGGATGATATGATAGCCAAAGAACCAGAAACCGGCGCCGAGGAGGAAACCGGCGACAACCAGGATCCATATCGGCGTGTCGGTTTCCTTCGAGACAACACCAGTGATGTAGGTGTCGTAGGCACCAACCCAGGGGCCGACAGCGTTGGCAACGTCGTTGGAGCCGTGAGCGATGGACATCATCATGGCACTGGCAACCTGGGCGTAGGTCCAGAGATGCTCAACTCTGTTATCGTAGCGCTTGGCCCTTGCGTGGGTTCTAGCGAGGAGGTCAGAAGAGTGGGAGACGCAGTCACGGGAGATGCCCTGGAGGAAGAAATATTTGACCCAAGACCAGAGGCGCGTGGGGCTATACACGGGGAGATGTCGTGTCGGGGCGAGCCAGCGCTCCTCAGGCTCGAGGAATTGCTTGCTTTCGAGAGCAGCGCTGTCATGCTCGGGGCCTTTCTCAATGGCAGATGGGTCAGGAGACTCGGAGCCCTTATCGTCGGAGGTTGTGGGTTTGATGGCATCTGGATCGGAAGATTTGTTGTTGTTGTTGCTGATGTTTTTATTGTTGGCTTCGGGAGAAGTGGTGTGGGCACTCTTGTAATAGTCAATGACGACCTCACCGTCTGCCTGGCCAGGGAAGTAGAGCCAAGGGTCATCGCGCCAGAGGATCGGTCCAAGCGGGACATGGTAGAACTTGACACGGGAGTCTCCAACGATGAGGCGGCGGTGGAAGTAGGGGAGGAAGAATGTATAGGCGATGGCGAGGAAACCGAAGAAGACGCCGAGGACAATACCACACATCTTGCCGACGCCAAACTCCTCATAGGACTGGCCGCCCGGCAGTTCGACGATGATGAAAAGGGCGAGGATGGCGGCGGTGATGGAGAGGTAGAAGGGGATCAGCCGCATGGCCCATTTTAACGGGTCACGTCTTTCGAGGACCGAGTACTTGACAGTCGCGAAGATGAGGGCAGAGAACGCAGCGGCAATGCCAGGAGCAATGGCCCAGGAGGCAGCGATCTGGGAAACACTGCCGCTCTCCCAGGACCATTTGACGCTGGCCTGGGAGGCGATACCAGCGCCGATGAGGGCACCGACAACGGTCTGGGTGGTCGAGACGGGGAAACCGAGTCTGGTGGCGATCAGCAACCAGGAAGCAGAGCCAACTTCGGCGCAGCCCATGGCAAGCATCATAGTGCCGGGCCGGGGCTTGAAGCGGTTGATGTTGATGATACCGCTCTTGATGGTCTTGGTGACTCGAGAACCCAAGGCAACGGCACCGACGAACTCGGTGAGCATGGAGAGGAAACCGACTTGAAGCATGGTGAGGGTCCTCGCGGCAACGGAGGTAGCGTAGGAATTAGCGACATCGTTGGCTCCGTTACCGAAGGAGGAGCAGCAGAAAGCGATAGAGATGATCGCGAGGATCCAGTCATATTGAGTGAGGACAGCCATGGCGAGAATGGCGAGAATCGGCCGAGGCGGGGAGGCAGTCCTGTGATATCCGTGTATACGGTACTGCTAACGAGATAAGCAACCCCAAGACGGCAGGGAGAGCACGGCCCTGCTTGGCGGATTGGCCCTTCGCACGACGAAGCAAGGGGAGGGGAAGCAAAAGGCGCTGTTGATGTGTGGCCGAGGGAGAGAGAAGAGAGAGCGAGAGATGGAAAAGAGGGAGGGAAAGCAACAGAACGGGGGAGATATAGAGATAGATATAGGGATCGCCCAGGTCTGGTCTGCTTCACAAAACGAGGTGGGATGGAGGAGGAGGGAAACGCGGTGAAGAAAGTCAGCCACTGCCAGCCAACCACTCGGCAACATGCGAGACAGAGATCCAAGAGGGCAGAAAGAAGAGAAAAGTGAAAGTGAGGAATAACTAATTAAAATAGAACAGAAAATAACGGAGCAGCACACCCTCCGCCGCGAACTCTTCTCAGCGTCGCCATCCCGCAGGCGTCCCAGAACGGCAACGCAGCCCTAATTCTAGATGTTTGAGCTCTCCCGACGCCAAGACCATGGAATGTCTTGGCGCAGCACTCGCGAGGCTTGGCGGCCCATGGATCCCGGGTTCGGCCACGGGGACCTCGTCGGCGGGACCCTTGGTCCGGCCAATCACCGCGGCGGGCGGCAGCACGTTGGTCGGTCTGCGCCGAGCTTATCTCAACGTCTGGCCACCAGATGCTGAGCTAATCAGCCCATGGGGCTTGGCATTGGTGGCGGGGGTCGGAGGAGGCACGTGTTGGACGTCTCGCAGCACGTTTTCCGCTGTGAGAACCACGGACCCTCGCGCCTTTTGCTTGGCGGCGTGGGATATGGGACGGGGACCGCGGTGGAGACTGCGCTGGAGTTTTGCGCTGGAGTTTTGCGCTGGAGCTGTGCTGCGACGGCGACACACTCCATCCACGTGCGCCAAACTTGTGTGTGACACGACCCCTGGGGGATGGATGGTGTCTGGATTTGTGTGTATCACCAGCAATAATACGGAGCAATGTCAGATCAATCGACTGTGTAGCTCTGCTCCTACTACACTGCGAACTGCGGCTGTAGTGATGGAACGATAGTAGCATGTTTAATTTTCATTCCCTTATAGAATTGGAATTCAACATGTACTACAACTGTACTGTACAATGCAGTATCGAGCAAGGGAAAAAAGTCTTTGAATCACATTGCGTTCTTTTCTTTTCTTTTTTCTTCCTCTTCTTCTCGCCTGATTTTTCTTTCCTCGGTTCCCTCTTCCTAGTTTGGAGAAGAGAATGAATGGCTGACCATCATGATTTCCGACACTTTCTTCCACGGCTCTGCCATCTCGCCATCTAGCGAAGTAGCCAGGTAGCCAGGTCCCAGAGCTCTCCGCTGGCTCGTCCAATGACAGCCATGATCCCCTGCACGGTTCCAGTCCGTTCGCTCTCTATTCTACAACGTGTTTGGATTGCGAATTGCTTATTTTTTTTTTAACTTTTTTATTATTCCCACCACCCCCACCCGCTGAACCACTGGCAGAACCGCTGCAACTCAGGATGAGAATAAATATAAACTGCCATAGCAAAAAAGCCCTGCTCTCACAGTTTTCCCACTCTTCCCACGCTGTTTCATTCGTTGGCTTGCATCCCCACCCTGTCCGTGGTCTGTCTTCATTCTTCTGTCCGTGGATTCGGCGTGGATGCGGATGGCAATGCAGAGCATCTCCAGGGTCCATGGCTTGCAGGGGTCAAGTTGCATGTAGGCAAGTGGGTCGTTACGAGTAGGTGGGATTTTTCATCTCACTCACATCATATCACAACCTAACCCCCAATGTGTGCGGACGATTCATTATCGTTATTCCTCTGGGTAGCTAGTCCAATCATTTAGCTTCCCCTGGGTTTGTTCTTTGCACGAGCGTTTCCAATTTCTGCCTTCTGCACCCTGGACCCTTGTTCCAGCTGTCTGCCTGACCTCTGCCTTGCCCAGGACGATCACGGTTCTCTATATCTTTGGTGTCTGCGTGTTTCGGGTATCTTTTCCTTTCTGCTCTGCATCGGGGGGATCAACTGAGCTATAGTTCCATTGCCGGTTCGCTCTTAAGGTCACTTCTTCGTTGTACACAAGCGGTGATTGTCTCACTTTTCCCCCAAGCCATTCCGAGTATCTCCTTACCAAAATGCAATATTTCAGCTATGGTATCTAGGAAGGAGGTAGACTTGGGGCCATAAATATATTTCCGGTGCATGTTTTTCAATAAGACGTTTGTTCGAATCCAGAGCTGAATAGTTCACTATTCCTTCTGTCATACTGATTTTGTTGCATTCAGATTGATCTAACTAACAATAACTTGAGTGAGCTCTGTATGGATCCGCAATCTGCGGGATGTTGCTTGAGCATCTATTCTATGCTGTTGATTCATGCCAAGTTCTGAGCTCAACTACTGAAAGCAGAAGCAGGGCTCTGATGCCCCCTTTGTCCCCGGGACTCGATATCCTGGTGTCCCTGATGTCAACATCGCGCATAAAGAACCCACATCAACCTATCCATATCGATGTGAGCCAGATCTCCTGAATCCCACGACTTCCTGCAAGAGACCCTCACGACCTACCGTCATTGACTTTACGAGCCCAACTCAATTGTCCCCGTGATATTCTGAGCTGGGGAATGAATCCTCGACTGCCATTGCCACCCTCACCCAACAGCCCTGGTGTGCTTGAGTGGAGAATCCAGCACAGGAGGAGGAAATATACGCCGCCAAAATCAAACCAGAATGCACCCTGTCACAGCTATTGTCCAAGATTTAGAAATCACAGCGATGTGGCCCTCGCATCAGCTGTGCAGAAATATATGTGGCAAAATGATGAACTTAGTCCGTCGGAAAACTTCGAGATGGAGCGGTTCTCGAGAGGCTGCGAATTGCGAGACCCTGTCAAATAGCGGCTCTGGTGCAACTGCAGATAGAATGCTTTCTGAGTGGGAACTGGTAGCTTGCTGACTTCGGCTAATCAACCGATAGATTCCTCCCCGAACCCTCATACAGGGTGTATCGGGAATGCCATGGCTTGTGACTACTGCTTGCTGTTTCATTTTATTTACCGGAGACCCATCTCATAGTCATGTAGGATCTAACGATTGCACACCTATCTATATCCAGATATTTCAGCGGTTTGTTTCGATTCGACTTACTCCTTCCCGTTCCCCGCTCCCCTTTCTATCACTCGAGCCAACCTGGGCCAAAAGTTGGGATATCGAGAGACCCCCTTGGGCACATGTACTGCCTTTCCTTACCTAGGTAAAACTCGGCCCCCTGCCCCTTTCTCCCCAGCGATGCTCGACAGACCCAACCGCGGAGGTGAAGAAATACACCAGATCATACTACATCTTTCGAAGCACAGATTTTCACACTGTCTCCCTCCCTGCCAGCTACCTGAAAATCTCGAGCATGCCCGCATCTTTATGTTGAAATTTCCAGATATTCACCTATCCCTGTGCGAATATATGCCAGTCTCTCTGGCAGCAGCTATCAGACCTCTGTTAATATAGAAATCTCTAGACGCTGACCACCCTGACTTTCTCCGAGATACTCAAACTTTTATTGTTATTGAGATTTCCAACCAGCCTCTCTGCGATTCTTCCGCGTTTAGTAGTTCATTCTTCCACTTCCGCTTCATTCATTATTCATTGCAGTCCTGTACGCACTGCACTTTCCATAAGAGGGAGCTGCGGAGCAACCATCTCGAGAAGCCCATACGCCTTATATAGTTATCATCCAGTTATCCGTTCGTTTTGTAAGTTGTTTCACTTGTTCAGGGAGGAGGTAGCATCGTTGCCACGAGCCGAGGTAAAAAAAAATAACTTGCGGCTTCGGGCAGACTTGATACTTAGCGAGATGCGGGGGATATTTTGTGACATCACATCATTTATGCCTTCATCTCATATTTAATACAGTTGTTGTCCTCTAGCATATACAGCACGGCATATACATTTTTTTATTTCTTCCATATTGTTATTCCCACTGGGCGCCTTCATAGATCCTACTGCGTAACTTCAAATCTGTCCTTGGACCATGGCTGCACCCGGACTGGAAATGCAGCTCCAGGCGCTCGGAATGATTAAGGGCAACCTTCCCACAGACCCTGTCGATCGCGCCAATGTGGAACACTGCCTACGCCACGGTTACGTTGTTCTGGAGAACTGCGTCACCAAGGAAGAAGTCACCGTTGCGAAGGCTGAAATTGATCGGCTGAGTGGCGCCGATCCAATGAAGGGTCGCAACACGTTTGAAGGACTGAATACGAATCGCATATATTCACTTTTGAACAAGTAAGTACTGGACCATCATACTATCTGCCTCGGTAGTTGGCTTGGCCGCGGAGTGAGACTGATGCATACTTTTGGTCGTCATAGGACGAGGGTATTCGACAAGTTTGTAATTCTTCCTCGTGTGTTGGCCTTGAACGACTACTTTCTGGACACTGGTTACAATATTACTGCGTTTCACACCATCCAAATCAATCCCGGCGAAGACGCTCAGGGCATGCATCACGGTACACCCGCGAACCGCACGAAGGCGTGGTTCGCCGAAACTAACTAATCACGAAGTGTATAGATGATGCCTTCTGCCACGTCCCACGTCCCCGCATGCCGTTGGGGAGTGCGATAATTCTGGGTATGCCATCCCGAAGGACATTTCGGATAAGACGATGATTGCGTTGACCTGATAGTTTGAAAGCATTTGATGAATTCACTGCCGACAATGGCGCCACACGTGTCGTCCCTGGTAGTCATCTCTGGGGAGCCGATCGGCGACCCGAGTACGAGGAGAGCACCCCGATGGTCTGTCCCCAAGGGAGCGTCGTCTACTTCCTTGCGACGACGTGGCATTGCGGCGGACCAAATAATTCCCCTAACCCACGGAAGAGCCTGACGGTCCAATACTGTCAGCCCTATGTGAGGATACTGGCCTCTTCTCGATTTCGACGACCCTGCTGACTCTCCTCCAACCATCCACCACAGATCCGACAGATCGAAAACCAAATTCTTGCAGTCGATCCCCGAAGACTCGCAGAGATTCCACAACGCATTGTCGAGATGATGGGATATCGGATTCATGCGCCGTTTATTGGCTATGGTGTGTTTCTCTACACCACTCCATATGTCTAGGTCTTGCTCAGTACTGATACTAACACTTCACATTCCGTTGCGCAGCCGACGGCTTGAATCCTGTCAGCGCGGTACGCAGGATGGTAAATTGGCTACAAGCTCCGCTGGACCCCAATCCCCCGGCGTTCACGTCGAAGTCAGGAACGGCAGGAATTGCCAAACTGTAAATAGCAATAGGGCATTCGTCATCTGTAGGCATCGAGGAAGATTTTCCGTATGCTCTAGAAATTAGTCGTCTCCGGCCTTAAACCTTAGCCTACGACGAGGCGATGCTGAATCCGATTAACGTAGCGTAGCCTGTGGCTTGATGTCGGTTGGGGTTAGGCCGTCGCGAACTTCCAAGAGTCAATGGCCCAATAAAAACCACTCGTCTCCCCAACAACGCAGGATTGGTTGGGTGCGGTTCGATCTCGAGGAGCATTCAGATCAGACCGTTGATGCGTCGGAAACCTACCAAACTCGAGCCCTTCCCAATCCGGTCTAGTGTCCGAACACGAGCTTCAGGACCCGAAGCTTGGGCCAACTCTGCTGACAGCGACAGGTTACAACCCCTGAACACTTCCAATGTCCGCCCAAGGGGTGAAGGAGGATGCGAGAAGTCGGACGTCAACCCAAGAGCAAGCAGAGGCTCGAACCATGCTCGAGTCTAGTCAGCTGGCGCAAGGTGTACGCAAGAGGAGGCGAAGTTTGGTTACTATGACGAGTCGGTTAGGTTTTGTTCGGAAATGTTGGAAAGAATTCAACATTGCGCTGTCCATTTCTGTGTATATAAACGAGTCCCATACTCGGTCTCGAGGGGCCAGCTCTCTATCTTTCCCCTATATAGGTTTGCAGAGTTCTACGCTTCGTCGTCACGGTCCCTCGTCCATTGCTGCCCGCTAAGTAATATCCAACGAGATGGCGGAAGAAGAATTTCATGACTTTTACAAATACATCCCCTCAAAGCCCGCGGCAATAATTTTCATTGTCCTCTTTCTGTCAACCACCAGCCTTCATAGCTTCCAACTTGTCAAGAAAAGAGTCTGGTTTTTTATCCCTGTCGTCCTTGGGGGCATCTGTGAGTGACTGGTGTTTGCCATTTATCGGTCAGTCAGCATCGCATGTTTGCTTATATCCTCGCGTGCAGTTGAGATTATAGGGTATATCGCGCGCATCGTCTCGAGTACCCAAGCACCTTTATTCAAAGATACCCCGTACATCATCCAATCGTTATTTTTGCTACTCGCACCGGCGCTGTTTGCTGCGTCGATATACATGGAATTAGGACGTATCATCGCCATCCTCCAGGGGGAAAAGCTTTCGATAATACGAAGAACTTGGATGACCAAGATCTTTGTCTCCGGTGATATCCTTTCCTTTGTTGTCCAGGGTGCTGGTAGGTGTTACCCTTGAAACTGGCTTTCCAGCACCAAGATCCCTATTTTTCATACTTTGGCTCTGGGCTCGTACGATATGCATGCATCAAACTAAAAGCAAATTAGGCGGCGGAATCATGTCTAGTGGGACAAAATCGAATCTCTCGTTAGGCCAAAAGGTAATCATCGTCGGCCTATGCATCCAACTTACGTGTTTTGGCCTCTTCGTCATCATCTCAGCCATATTTCACCGCCGGATGGCTGCTAGACCAACAACAGCATCACTATCCATCCAGGTCCCCTGGCGTAAATACATGTATTCTCTCTACGCCGTCTCGACCCTGATCATGATCCGTTCCATCTTTCGAGTCGTTGAGTATATTCAGGGTGCTGATGGTATCCTCCTGCGTCATGAGTTTTACCTTTATGTTTTCGACGCCGCGCTAATGTGGATCCTCATGGTGGTGTTGAATGCGGTGCACCCAGGTGTGATATCGGAGTTGTTGAAGGGAGACACAAGGTTGAAATCTGTTCGCGTGGGTATGCACCCTGAAGAGCTTGAGCTAACCGATATCCCTTATGTTGGTTCGAGACCAATCAGAAAACAAAGGCCCAGTTTCGCGGAGACAACATATGCAAGACATGCCATCGCGACGAGGGGCTTGGCTTGAAGTATTCCCATACCTAGAGGAGGAGATGTGCTTCTATATTGCGATTTCCCCTTTGTGATATAAGGGATAGGAACCTTCTCTCGAGCTTGCATGCTTCTAGAAAGGTCAAGCGGCGTATGTGTATGTTACCGTATACTTGCGTTTTTGAGGTGTTTCGTTTTGTGCGCATATTCCGTTATTGGGATTATGTTCTCGAAGTAACCAGATTAGAAAAGTCTTGTTCATTTTTGGCCCATCCTCCCTTAGTCCTGGCTTACGTGCATACTTTGATCCGGGGATCTGTTTACTTGGGAGAAGTGTGTCTACAACGGGGTCCGAGATGGTCTCGAAAAGATTTAGGGAATAGAGCCATGCATTGTCTCCTCTTAGAATCTGAAACATAAGGACGATGTTTGGTATGCCGGGGGGTATATATATTAATGGAATGAATTACCATTAGCAGAATTTAAATCCGAGTCTTGCAGGTTCATGCCAATTATTTTCATTGGCCATGCAATTGCATGCCTCCAGCGCTCATCTAGACTTCTAGATACAGCATCAATGACTTGCTCGGCCCAGCCATCGGCCCACCATCGCGCTGGGGCTCGACAAAGCAAAACACAAAAGTGCGCCAAAAGCACTAAGCCTATCGGATCTCGCCGCTTCCAGGACAGTAGAGTCTGCTCAGAAAATATGATCGGGAATCGTAGAGCCATCGACCAGTCCTTGCGTTTCGTTTCTGCCATGACAAAGGAGTCCCAAAGTTGTTGGATGGCGACTTGATAAGTCTCGTGGGGTGTGGCGTGGGCATCTCGAGTAAGGGGCAAACTGTGGTAGAATTGCTCCATGAGCTCGAGTCCCTCGGCAATATCTAGAGGGAGGTACCGACGGTCCGTAATCGTTGGCCCACGTTGAAGCAGCATCGCAAGTGGGCCATCAACAAGAGAGTCCCAGGATGATCGTAGAGCCTCCATGGCAGTTCTAAGAAGTAGGAGCACATCTAGCAACTCTCCGATTGGGTCTTCCATTCGTCCGTTGTTCACTGAGAATTTTGACGAGCCGAATGCAAAATAGATTGTTAAATGAGAGAATGCGAACACGGCACTGCTGTTAGACCTCGTTATTTGCGACACCGTCGAACGAAATGCGACTACCGCATCATGGTAGTGTGCGCGTGCCAATTCCTTGTACGACCCTTTCCTATGATCAGAGTCACGAAGATGGCAGATATGTAGGGCAGATATGGCGAGGATGATATGCATGAGGAAGGGATACGATTGCGCCTCTTGGGGGACCGTTATCTGCCACACGGACCTGTAGGCTTCGTAGTCAGAGAAGCAAGCGAACGAAGTCGTAGCGTAATGATGCATTAACTCGAGTTGCTGCAATAGCGGGCTACGATTGTGTGCGCAGGTGGTAGGCGGGGAGATGGTTGAGAGGCCGGATGGGAGGAAGCTGTTCTGTTGCGTTTCGTTCGATGGTTGGCAAGGCTGAAGGCGACTGTGTGTCGGTGGTTTGAAGCTGGGGGTCTGGCTCCATTGTGACAGGAAGCTGCAATTCACGCGGCGATACTTGCAATTGCGGCAATATGGTGCCTGTTCGTCACACTGTAGACCAGGCAAGTTAACATCGCTGCTAGGGAGTCCATAGTGTACATTACACCTCGCAGCGTGAACTGAGATTATTCGAAAAGACCTGCCTTGACTTTTCTTGCTTTGCATTGTTGGCAGCCATTGCGCGACTTCGTTGAGATCTTTCGGGCGGTGTGGTCGGTTGACATATTATGGAACGGATAAAGTTAAAAGTCGATTATAAGCTAGGTGTACTCCGTAATAGGTGTGCTCCGTAATATGCACCAACTTATATTTATGGATTCCAGGCACAACTGCACTGTTGTTGTCAGTTGTTCTTTGGGCTGTTTGTGAGTGACGAGTGATAAATGATAACCAGAAAGTTAACACTCAAAACAGTTGGCCCTAGGCTATCTATTATGGACTAGCGCACCGCAAATATATGCCTCAGCTGCCTGCATTGCTAATACAACCTTGGAACCACCTCGACGTGCCCGTAGTTGAAGAGTCCTTCACCACCTGGGCACTCCGGGTTGACACTTAGTCCTTGCTAGCGTGATCATATGATATAGAACTCTATTTGAAACCTTCTATCTGATTGGTGTAGAGATGCATAGTTTTTTGTTCATACAACCAGCAATATAATCATTTAGACTTGTTTGAGAGATATTGACTATAGAAAAGCAACACTTATCTAAGTTAATCCTTGATGTTTGATAGCAAAGCAAGTTTATTTTCACTCATTCTTACTTTTATTGTATGAATATAAGAAGTTAAACTCTGGGTAATTTAATTGGACTATACCATGTCAGACCAACAAGGACGTGGTAGAAAGTGGTGAAGTATATCAATTGATGAAGCATGCATATATATAGCTATATGATCTATATTAAATAATAAAATGGAACTAGAACTACTGCTATAAAAAAGATAAAAGTGATTTAGAATAATCTATAAGATTAAAACTATTAAAAGAATGAAAAATTTGATTCTGATTTTATACACAGTAACACGGCTAGTCTAATCTTCTGAACAATGCCCACGCCAATAATTGTCTTGATTCATACCAACACAGTTAACACATCGAGGATCTTTGGTGGTACAATCACTGTTTCGACGGCAACCTAATGGTGTGCAAAGGTCACGGTAAGGTGATAGAACATTGAGTTTGCGGGATTGTAACTCTGACGACGAAACATCAATGTTTTCTGATTGAAGCGAGTCAATGAGATTGGGGGATGAATTCCAAAGATCATTGTCATCAATTGACAAGCCCATATCAGACCAATGTGTAAGAAATTCTTTATCATTTTCATCAATAAGTCCTTTACTCATAACACTGAAATCTCTCTTAGAAAGTTTATAATAATCAATAACTTTATTATTCTTATCAAAGGATTGCAAAATCCCCATATTATTAATGTGAAAAAATCCATCATTGTCTCTTTTAATATTTTTTAAAATGCTAGATAATTGGTGATTTGCTGATAGTTGAGGTTTCTTTTGAAAAAATAAATTAGTATATGAACTAGTTAAAATGTTAAAAAAAGTTAAAAATAACGTACCAATGTTCCTTGAGTTAAAACACTAGAGATAATGCTTAAATTAATAATAATAAAAGATAAGAAATACATTTCAATATATATATATATATATATATATAATATATTGCTGATTAAAGTAATAATATCTTCTCTTAAATTTACTGATTAACTGATATCTTTATGAATACTTTCTACTATCAAAGGTAATGCTGCTACTTATTTATATTGATTTTATTATATGTTCGCCTATTCTCCGAAAAAATCACATATAATAATTATTTTGTAATTTTTTGATATTCACAATTCATTTGTAACTTCAACATAGAGAAGGTACGGCACTGCCACCACCACACAACCCAACACAGGTCCAGTGATGAAGGATAACGGTGTTGTGTTCTGTTGGAGGGATTGGATTGGGTGATTCGTACCGTCTATACCACCACAGCGCTGGTGGTGATTGAGCTCTTTTGCCCCAGTGGCCTAATAAATTATGAGCCTGTGTAAGTGCTACAGGGTGTGTGAAAATGCTATCACAGATTCAAATCAGATCAAGGCCAGAATAATATCTCTTACTAATGCACATTCTCTTGCCAAGGTATATATATAGATATACACTCAGGAAAAACCCCAGGACCAATGGCAGTAGAGTAGTGGAACTTACGGAGTAGAAAGAATCAGGTTCCTCCAGCTGGCTGGATGGTAGAGTGGGTCTGAGGCGGGGTGTTGGAGGGATTGGATTGGGTGATTCGTACCCTCTATACCACTACGGCGCTGGTGGTGATGGAGCTCTTTTGCCCCAGTGGCCTATCATCTAATATCTTTTGACTAGTAAGCAAATCTTAGAGATCAGATGACCAGCTGGGCCCCACCCTCGCTTAGCTAGTTCATAAGAACATATTAGACCACTGGGGCAAAAGAGCTCAATCGCCACCAGCGCCGTGGTGGCATAGAGGGTACAAACCATCCGATCTAATCCCTCCAGATTACACATCGGCTGACCCTTCGTGATCTACACAGTGATTTACATTAACCAGTGGGGGTAATTTGACTTAAGTGTTTTCTTGGCAAAAAAAGAGTCGGCTGAGAATAAAATAAAAATGAATATTTATCTTCTTATACATCTTTTAGTACACACAGACTACAGTGAATTGATTCTTTCTTTGATTCTTATAATAACTATAGCATATTAATAAATGATTGATATATTATTAATAAAGTACTAGTATATTTATATCAACATAAATTTACTCAAAAATTATTTATTATTTAAAAGAATCTATAACTAACTATACTGAAGGCAGCCTGCCCTCAGCACCCCTCTTTCAGAGGGTGGGCAAATGAACCTCTAAGTCCCAGAGGATGAAATGCATCTTTAATTGCTTTGAAGAGGTGGACAGCTCAGGCACAACACTGTATAGCAGAAGCTTCATGAAACACACAGCTGAGCAGAACAGAGCAAAAGTGTGAAGTCGTGTTGGTGTCATTGCTAGCTATCATTGATATATATCATTGATATATATGGTCATCGATTTCATTCAAGCAGGTGAGCAGATAAATAGACAGGTAGGGAGCCAGGTAGTCATCTAGTAAGCCAGCATTGCCAGGTAGATGGGTAGGCTGTAGCTAGATGATGATGTTTATTCTCACACAGATTGATTGGACAGTGACGACGATGAGCCGATCATGTGAAACCTACTACTTCGCTATAATTCTAGTTTTATCCATATTGTATATATCTGACAAATCTGATATTCTTACTCTTTTGTTTTGTGACCTTTTATATGATTTGAAAAATATATATATAATTGGGTTTTCACCAAGGCCGTGCCTGTAGACTTTCTCTTAAGAATAAAATAACAATTATTTGAGTCCTTGAGCTGTTATGTACACAAAAGAAGAATTCAACAAAACTGATCATTTCAAAGAACAAAAAACCCCCTAGGAACGACAGACATTGTCAACACACAGAATCACTGAGAGATATTGGTTGCAGACTTGCGTTGTTCAGTACATGTATTTGCCGGCAACAGGGGGCTGGCGATACAGGGAGACTAGCTCTGCATATGCACAGCTTCGTACCTTTTCAGTGCCCGAGCTACGAATGCAAAAAGGAGACGGCGGAACGTCATGCCCTTGGTAGGGCCAGATTCGTCAAAGTAAGTGCCTCTCACCGCCCCGCCTCTAGTGGATTTTTCGTGAAGGTAATTGAAGATAAACATAGCGGTCCAGTCAAACACCGCAACACTGGCGCAGTGGCCCGAGTATTTCCCGGCTTGCTTCGAGAGCCAAACCGCGTTCTCCTTAAGCAGTGTAAAATGTGGGGCCCTATTGGCGGCCTTGCTCCTTTGTGCCTCCAGGTTCTGCTCGGTGGCTTCGGCAGGCGCAAAGTCTTCCCGATGTATAATGTGTGTATTTTTGACCTCGAGGATAGAAAGAATCTCCAACAACTCTTCTTTATCAGAATAAAGGGACCACTGCACATCGAAGCGGCTTTTGGGTCCACCGTATTACTCAGTTCCGCAGACAAGCTTGGTGCTAGCAGGAAGTATCTCCTGAAGAGCTATGTTCACAGGGTGGATGAATTGCAGTATAGAAATCCGTAAACCATCAACCTCAGTGTCCAATCAATGCATTTTTTCCAGCACGGGCAGGCTAGCTTGGAGTGGACTGAAGGGCACTGTGGGGGGGGAAATATCTTTCTGTGATCGCCTGAAAAATCGAAATATTGTCTTTGACGAAGACAGGTGCCGCATCGATTTCAACCATGGATTGGACACTTGTTTGAATTCTCAATAAGAGCCCTTGAATGTAAACTTGATATCCGATCCATTTGGCAATTTGCAATTGAAAGACTGGAAAATTTTTAAAGCCATGGCTCTTGTGGAATTGAACAATAACAGGGTAGTTTTGGGGTAGCTGGAAGAGTGATATTCACATGTAGCTTTGTGTTTCCTTGTTTTCTTGACTTATCTTAATAGACATCCGACTTTATATGTCGCTTTGCCTTAATTGAAAGATCTAAATGTAGAAAGTACATCGGAGGAGAATGGGTAGTGGCGCCTACAGAAACAGTTGGATTGGTGCATCGATCAGCAAGACAGGCAGCTGCAACTTGTGCAGATGCATCCGGAAAATCAGAAAGTCCGAAAGGTCCAGCATCCAGGCTGCTCTGCACCTTACACCTCGAGAGAAAGAAGAGCCCTATTAAAGATCACCGTTTCTATCAGAGCACACAAACATCTCATGGATCCTCCGTCCACCGACCTTCCGAAACCCCCAGTGCCCTATGTCGAGGGTTGGGTATTCAGTGTCCAATCACACATTCCTCCCCCCCCGACACCTGTGACTAAAGATTGTTGCCGTAACTTTCAAGCTGGTAGGGTGGAAAGAAGGCAGCTTCTCCCAGTCGAACGATGCCTGCGACATCCTCCATTGCCAGGAAACATGGAACCACGCACTGTCGACTTGAAGGTTCTTGATTTATTGCAGGTGGGAGACGCCTGCAATGCTCAGGTCTTTACTGTGCAGATTCTCGAAGTTAGACCTGATCCTCAATATTTTCAATCAAATAGAAAATTGGTTGCCAAAATATACGACCCTCTTTATTTCAGTGATGAGGAGGGATTTCTTAATCCTTTTCATTGCGTGGACAAGCATTATACCCATGAGGCTCATGCTTACAATGTCCTATCCAAGTCACATGGAGGCCGAGTACCCAGGTTTTATGGATCTTATTCGTTGAATATTCCTGTTGACAGATCTGAAATGCGCACCGTTCGACTTATTCTGATGGAATATATACCAGGGATATCAATGCAACAAGCCAATCCAGAAAAATTTTCTCGCCTTGCTCGCCAAGAGATCATGAAATCAGTGATCAACTTCGAAAGTCAGCTGTATGAGCAAGATATCTTGCTCACAGATCTAAGCCCTAGAAATGTCATAATGATGGAGAAGCCCAGCTTTGACCCGAGACAAGACCTTCTTTTCCTTGACTTTGCTGGTGCTCTTTTTGGGCGCAGAAGGGATGATCCAGTTACTATTGAATCAAACCTATTCCTCGGTCGGTATATTTCACCTCTTTTACGGTGGAATAAGACTATGGCAATGCAATTTAATGACTGGATTGATTGGGATTGGCAGCCCTGGATTGAAGCTGAGTATGCTCACACGGCTGCAACAATTACACCGGAAATGCAGGACACATACTGTTGATGACAATTGCTACTGTTTGCTCGCTCTGCATTTTCTTTATTCTGTATGGTGGTCACATTCTAACACACTTTAGCAAGTCTCATGTGGGAGGCCATATCTTTTCTTTTCAACAAAGGTTTGAGGTTTTTTTCGTACAAATCCATCACTTTGTTTTGTCTCACCAAATATGAATTCATCATTGTATAATGAACTTAGCATTGTGCCAACACAGTTTGGAAGAAAAATAACACAACTTCCCGGAGGATGGGTATGGAGCAGTGGAGAATAATTTCCTTGCACACTCTAGAAATCTAGCTAGAAATCCATTTGAGAATCTGAATGTAAGCTTCTGTTCAATATTTAAACCCTATATTCTCTGTATAGACAGGCTATTCTTAACTCAAGTGTCAAACAGTGAGACAATCTGGCAACCAGGGATGAATGATGAGAGCATGTCCATTACAATGTAAGACACCGCCTTTCATCAGCGAGGCGCTATCTGAATGAGTGCTACAAGAGCAAAAATGAGGTTTGCAGTTGAAAGTAAAACTACTAGCTCTAATTGGGCGCGGCATTATCTCGCAGTGACCTCAAGGTGGGATCTTCTCTAAGCCAGATGCCGCAGCGGATGAAATCATGAGCCTTAATCTTCTACTCAGAAGTGGATGGCTTGAAGGGCCAGGACAATCCTAGCAATTCCCATGACCAGCAATCATATTGGCCACTTCCACATGCCCGTGCCACTTATCCCAGTCGATGGCTGTATCGCCCACTTCCACTCACTGCCGGAAATGGCCATCGGGATGCAATGCAAGCTTTGCTTCCGGATAGAGCCAACATCGATTTCACAGACGCTGATGGTGACACACTGCTCATTAAAGCTGCTTCAAAGGGACATGACAATGTCATGAGAACCCTGCTCTGCATAGGAGCAAACCCAAGCTTTTGCAATGAGTGGAAAGCCACAGCTCTTCTAACCACTGTCTAACTTTTGACATGTGTAATTTGTCCATTTCTGCTTGAGAAGGGGTGGAACTGGATCATATGGTTGGCAGTGGCGCTGCCCTTAACTGGGCTGCCGCGAAAGGACCAGAAAGGTGCAAGGACTGACCTTGTTGGTGTACCAGGAGTCTCAACTGTAAAATCAGCTGATCTCCTTTGGAATTGAAGCTTGACCAGTTTCATATGTCCATTCTCTCAGGCTAACAAATGAGCAGATCAGCTTCACTTTCAACAGACCACTGTCTCCTTGCCCTGGAGTATGTCAATGAAAGCTGTGCTCTGCTTTGCTGTTCATTTCTACAGGTCCACAAAAGCACCGAGTCTTCATTTTAACTGGAATTGAGCTGATATAGGAGATAACTGTCCAGGGGTAGAAAGTCATTGACATCAGAGCAAAGGAGTAAATATCATTTTCGGACTCTGGATGCCACACAATCAATCAGACGACCTCGGCGCTTAGCCTGTGGTCTACTTATTCAAAGCAATTACAGCAATAGTTTTCCCACTGTACAAGAGGGGACATCAAACTTGCATTGATCAAGACACCTTTAGCTGCTACATTTATTCAAAGTTCCACTAATACTCTAGATTCTGTTCTGTGCATGCTGTTAGGGTCAAAGAATGTCTAGCAACCCATATCAACTATATTAATTTCTTCATGACAGATTTTCTTCACTACAAGAACTTCAATCAAGCAGGTGATATAGAGATGCAATTGGTCACGTGTACATGTTGTGGACTGAAAGCCTTCAATGCCATTCAGTGTCTTTGGGCATGACAGGTGAGGGCGCCAGAGCTGAGCATCGGAGTCAAGGTAACAGAGGTGGCAATTTGGGACATGTCTTTGAAGGTGATTGGTTCGTGAAAAGAAGTAAATCTGTGTGGAGTGTGGCAGGTGGCTACCGCCAAAACAGAAGAGACACCGAGTACCCGGACATGAGATGATAAAAATCTTGAACTCTTAAACAGAGCGAAGTGAAGTTTAATCAAAATCGTTTTTACAGAGGGTAAATTTTACATTTCAAATTAGGGTTTCTCGGATCACGTGCAATGGAGACTTAGCTTCAGCACTAGGCCGCAATTGGCTCAGATAGCCCCTATTCTTGCCCCTGAATTCTCTGCGCAGAAGAGTGAGGCTGTCTGTTCGATGCATTCTCGTAACGGAGGCCATCTTTAGGCGGCGGGTATCTGCCCGCATTTTGCATTCATAAATGCCTTCTGCGGCCCTTAAAAATTCTATTGGCAGGAATGATTGAGGTCTCTGTCATCTGTAATGAGATTCATAATGTTGGAAGCGTGGATCATGTATGGTGTATCAGGAAGATAGCATGGGAACCGCTCAGTGTTGAAAGGGCACCAAACTACTCTGTAGTATCATAGCATTGTCGACGCAGCAAAAGAAGATCCTTTTTCCTCACATAAATACAACTTCCACTTTTGGAGGCAGCTTTGGGTATCTCTCATTAGACATTAGCGGCAAGTAGCCGCGGATCAATCGCAGCGCCAAGCTAGCGCCAAACCCCTTCAACCGACATCATCATTTCGGTCCAGGACACCCGCCCATCCGAAGCAACCCATGAAGAGGCCATCATCCACCTGGTATGTCGTCTCTCAGGAATTGTACACGACGAGTTTTCGCTATCAAAAGCCATGCATACTCCAGCCTATCGATTCGCAACTGTCATCTTGTTCTCCCACAAGACACAATTGTTGCTAGAACAATGTCTTCTGTCCCACCAAAGCGCTTGGCTCCACTCTCTTTTCCAACATCTAGATTCAAGGTCATCGACCATTCGAAACTGTTTCAGGAAGAAACTCTTCCTGGGTACAAAGCAGAGCTATACTACCCAGTGCACATCGGAGAGGTTTTCAACAATAGGTACCAGGTGATGGGCAAATTAGGCTTTGGCGTTACATCTACTGTATGGCTCGCTCGCGATCTGGTGTAAGCATCTACCCAACCACTACAACGATGATAAAAGAATGGATTGAAGACGGTGAGTGTTATGCTGATCCCGCTTTCCACCAGGGAGCCTGATGACCCAGGGTATGTAGCACTGAAAGTATATGTAAATGACTTATTCAGGGGTAACGAAATCGCAATTTATGAACGTATAAAAGCTGCCACTGCCAAACAAAATCACCTTGGGCATGAAACTATCCGCAAGTGCCTCTCTTCCTTCGAGATACAAGGGCCACAGGGAAAAAAGCATACCTGCATTGTCCATGAGGCTTTGGGAATGACTATGGAGCATATTCTCCTCAATTATGTCCCTGATAGAGCATTCAGGATTGAAGAGATAAAAATGTTTATTCTCGAGATTCTCATTGGTCTGGACTTCCTTCATACCGAGGCAAGAATAATTCATACTGGTAAGTTATTCCTACAACCTCACAAGGAAAAGATAGTGGGATTAACGTATGTATTATTGAAGATCTCCAGCTCAAGAACCTTCTTCTTCCAGTGGGGAACCCTTATTTCTTTGAGGAATTTGTAGAGGGCGAATGCAATGACCCTGCCGAACGAAAAATCCTCAAGGACCGGATCATATATAACACAAGACACTTGTCACAGGACCTCAAGGGACTGCCGCGCATCTGCGACTTTGGTGAAGCCAGGTTTGCTGATGGGGACTGTGAATTGACTGATGACATTATGCCTGATGTCTACAGGGCTCCTGAGGTTGTTATGCGGATGGCGTGGAATAATAAGGTTGATATCTGGAGTGTCGCGATGGTGGTAAGTTAGTATTGAGCTCCTTGGCTTTGAAAACCTTCTAACTAACAAATACATAGGCATGGGATTTACTTGCAAAACGTACCCTTTTTCACCGCCAGAATCCTGAAACTGAAGAACCTGATGATAGATACCTTCTCGCGGAAATGACAGCTGTATTGGGCCCGCCGCCTCCTGAATTTGTAAGGCGAAGTCGAGTGTGTCAAGTGTTCTGGGATGAAAACGGTACTGAACAAATTCCCCACTCAAGCAATCTCCTTACTGATCTTGGTCCTTCTGCTTTAGGCAAATGGAAAGACGCGGTCCCAATTCCTGACCTCACCCTCGAAAAACTTGCTGCAGGTATCAAGGGTAAAGATAAAGAGGGATTCTTGCATTTTCTTCGTAGGATTCTTCGCTGGCTTCCTGAAGACCGGCCAACAACTGAAGAGCTTGTGAATGATCCATGGTTAGGTGTAGGCCCTAATATCCATGGTACTCCTGATGAGCAGCCACAGACTCAAGATAAGAACAAAGAGCGGGTAGAGGAAGCGCTCCCACCAAGTTGACTAAGGAGAGGGGAGTGATAGAGTCCGAGTTACCTTGTAGTCTGGGAAGAATTTGGGGTTGTTGAATCCCACCCCAGCGACAAGATAGGTATTTACGCCGGTAGATCCCGGTATTTTCGTTAGAGCCACCCTAATATTTCAGTGCCCTTCTAACCATCATTCTGGGGATTTTACGTGGCATTCTCGCGTTGAGCGCGTTTTTCATCATCATATAGGAGAACGATGGGATGCATGTACGCGGTTGGCTTTTCTGGAACGCAGATCTGAGGGGCCACGTATAAGCCCCAGCAGCCCCGTTGATCGTTGATATTGCGACATCCATCATGGAACCGAATGTGCATCTTGTGTTCCAGTTTGATCTTGAACCAGCTGCACCACGCCGTCCTTGAGGTGCCGGAGGTGATCATCCCGGAAATTCCTGCCCAGGTCTGCGAAATTCAAATTCCAAAAGTCAAGCATCTATGTGAAGGGAAATAGGATAAAAAATTTGATTTGTTTGAATTGCGCTTTTAATCTGGGGAACATGTGATCTATATTATGGTGTTTTGAATATTATATATTCGCTTTATGACCAAGTAGACATTGACAGTGAATAAAACTCTTATTCGTTCGCGGGAAAGGGTTCGATGTATCTTCTGCTAGCCCCCATGCTCATTGAACTACAAGGTAAGGCCAGTCTTCTGTGAGGCATCTGGCAGGCCGGTTTCAAAGGTCCACGCACAATCATCGTCGTATCCCTGCGCGATTCTCTCAACATCGACAACAGCGTCCCACGCCGCCATCGTTCTCCTGTACATTCCCTCTAGTTCATCGACATCGGCCAGACTTAGGTATTCTTGGTGCCTAGCATCGCACTCATGGCGCAGAACTGACCTCAGCACATCTAACAACTCCATCCTCCACTCTGGCTGGTGGCCTCCAGATAGCCGTGCCGCGACGTATTCAAAGTACGCCGGCATGATGTTGGCCATTTCCCAGTCCAGGAAACCCGTCACCGCGAGCGTGTGGGGGTCCACCAAGATGTTCCGGTCGGACAAGTCCCCATGCGTGAGGACAGGGCGATCCCAACCACCTGCGAAGGTGGTGCCGCGCTGCACTCGCTCGAGGGCGACCGCCCGTTCCGTGTCTGGAGCAGAGGCATGCAACGCGCGGACGCGCGAGTCATCCCACTCCGAGCGAGAGGAGCAGCCCGCGTGCGTCTCTATGCCAAATTCGGAGAAGAGGAGATACGGCTCCCGTGTGGGGCGCCCGTAGTAGGCGAAGTGGCGCGCACGCATGTGCACGAGAAGGCGGCAGAGGTTCGCCTTGACAGTCTCTCGTTGCAAAGCGGTGAGCGAGGGCCAGAGCTCGACCAGTGGTGTGCCCGGCTGGCGAGAGAGGATGAGGCCCTGTTGGGCGCGGGTGGGCATCGAGTCGTCGGAGGCTCTGCTTGAAACCGTGACGACGCTAACGATGCGTGGGACACAGGAGCCCAGGATGGAATGGGCGAGCGAGGTCATGATGCCCTCGCCATCATCAGTGCCGAGTTTGAGAATGGTGGAGGGAGAATGGATGAAAAACCGGTGTACAATGGTCGGGACGGTCGGCCCTAGCAACGGAGGTAGGCTCGGGAGAGTGGGCCAGCTCTCCCGAAAAAAGTCTTCTTGTTCCTGACAGCTCTCATTGTGCAGTGTCATGTCATTCTGCAGTGCCATAGCCAGCAGCAGTGCGTGAAGAGCAGCCTAGATTATGACGATGTTGACCGCGAACAGGTGTTGAGATGTTGAGATGTTGCAAGCAGGGCTGTCACGGTTGGAGCATTATGCTACGCTAACAGTAGAGAAGATGGTGGGACACCTCTACTTGGTCGACTGCCAAATTGATGGCGTTTAGAGCTGAGAAGTTGAGGCGCCTGCTGATCAAAATACATTAGTTGCTCGAATCTCTGACCGAGTTAATAGACAACCAGCGTACAGCGGTCCGTTCTCCAACCAAGAAACCCAAAACAAATAAGTTAGGAAACTTCGCAATCCGTTGCCGCCCTGTGCTTGTCGATCATTATATTTCAAGCGAATGCTAAGAAGCAGAGCCACCAGGCGCTTAGCTCCAACGTTATTTTTGATGATATGGAGAACCTTACACATACTTCCACCTTGTCTCTTCTCGTTGTAATCAGCCAACAGTTATGGCTGCTGTGTTTCAGAAGCTATGTTACAAGGGGAATGAATATCTTAGTGGCCATTACTCAACCATTTTTCATGAAGGCATCGTTTCAATTGATGCATAAAACGCAGCCCCTCTTCCTTTGCACATCGGTTCGTATGCATTTCAGAACTGACCCCCCTCTCCCCGTCTCCCTCAAACAGCCAATATCATTGACTAATGCTGCTCAATAATTCGTTATTATGATGCGTGCTTTCAAGCTCATTCATGCGTCACAGATGAGCAAATTATTTATATATAGAGCCTACCTCCTATTCCTGCCATGTACCTACTGTTTTTTGGTGAAGGTACAATTACAAACTAGAGAAAATTATAAACATTATACGTCACACTTTTATATACCCACTGAAGATCCCAGTCTGCCCTCCCGCGTGTCGGGCGCATCCTTGTTCGACGGATATATTACCATCGACCCGTAGCGTTTGCCGATGTTAGGCCTACTCAGCCAACGTGCTCTAGCAATCACTGAGCTTGATCTATATCCTTCGAGCAAACCAAGAACGTCTGCGAGCTTGCTGTTAACTTGAACACGAAGACTGACAATGTTGAATAAACTTGATGAGCTGCATGATACTGAGGTCGAAAACAGATTGAGGGAGTTGATGGATAGGATAGAAATTTACAAAGCAGGTATGCCATCAAATGACACTAACAATGGCTGTGTTGGATCATAACTCTGCAAGGGAATCTTTAATGAGTGTGCGGGTGTTTGTTGTACCGAGTCTGGCCATACATCAGTGACCTTCCAGGCTATCCTGTTAGTGGCTGCCTTCAGCCATACAATGAGTTGTCACCAGCATTTCAGAAGAACTATGTATTCAGGTTCCCTCTTCAGATCCTCTGTGGGAAATTGAAGGGAGGGTCTCAGAAGCATTCAAGTTGCCCCAGAAAAGATGCAAATAGCTATCTCTCTTTATATTATAGAAAAACCAACTTTTCTGTGCAAAATGCACTGTAATGTGACCTCATGTGATCTCACATGAATCTCATCAAATTCATGGATGGGATCTAACAGCCAGCCCTATAGTCTGCACAGCTCTGATATTAATCTTCATTTCTTTCTTTACAGACATTCTCTACTGTATTTATATTCTTTATACTCTTCTCTACATTCATTACAATCTATACATTTATTAATATACTCATTCATGTGCTGCTGCTCTGTGTGTAGGAATTCTCATTCTCTCAGCATATTTGAACAGCCTCAATTCAATGCATTGTTCTGTATATACTCTACATACTGTCAAGTTCAGCATTGTGTATATCAGCTATATTTAGTTCAAATCTCTCATCTGTCATTGAGAGATGTAGCTGCTTTCATGCTCAACTCACAGTAAGTTGAGTTGTTACACTGTGATATATATCATAAAGACTGTCTGTCTCATCTATTTCATACTGTCAATTGCATCTTCAAGAACTGCAATGATTGCTGAACTCTCAATTATGAATATATCTGTAATACTAAATACTATTATTTGACAGCTGCTGTAGCAGCTTCTACAGCAGATAAGTCTGTTGATTATATATATACAGATTTGCTGAAGTGACTGATTCTTGATGATCTTGACATTTGAACTGACTCAACTATCTCTGAATCAGCTGTTAATTCTTCAATTACTTACAATTATCAGTTCATTCTCTGCAGCTTCTGTTTCTACACTCATCATTATTAATTACTTAATTTTAACTGAATGAATATTTACTGCTCTATCTACAGAGCTAAGTATTGAGTTGATAAATATATACACAGATTATCAAAGATTCTTTCAGTATTTTTTATATGCTGTGTAAGAGATGCTGTGAGACTGTCATCTATCAGAGAATCTTTATCAGAGCTATATAAGCTGTTTAATGATGATTAGACTGACTGTGTGATCATGTATGAAACTGAGATCAAATTTTTTCTCAGTTCCATTATTAGATATCTTAGTTCTGATCTCATATAGTGTTTAGTAAATTAATCACTTTACACTATTTATATTATAAATCTAGTCTCAGATCATGTTTTACTAATAAATTAGTGATTCTGATTCCATTTGATCCCATTTTACAAAATGGGACCAAATGGGACCATGATTTACCCTATATAGATTGGCAGTGATAGATAGGTTGGCAGTGGTAGGTAGGTTGGCAGCGGTAGATAGGTTGGCGGCGATAGATTAGCAGCGATAGATTAGCAGTGATAGATTAGCAGCGATAGATTAGCAGCGATAGATAGATTGGCAGCGGTAGGTAGGTTGGCAGCGGTAGGTAGGTTGGCGGCGATAGATTAGCAGCGATAGATTAGCAGTGATAGATTAGCAGCGATAGATTAGCAGCGATAGATAGATTGGCAGTGGTAGATAGATTGGCAGCGGTAGATAGATTGGCAGTGGTGGGTAGATTGACAGCAGCACTAAGCAAGATAGAGATAATATCTCCACCAATCATATCATCAGATTGATGTATTATATAATCATCAGAATGGGATCAAACTTGAGTCAAAATTATGATCAGTTCCAGATCATGTTCTGATTTTGATAGTCAGTCACTTTACATGAAATATCAAGATTTTTTAGTCTCATTTCATTCATATTTTGATAATTCTAGTCACTTTACACTTTCATTCTGATTCTGATCTCACTAAAATCATGTCAAGAAATGAACTGAGATCAAATCAAATCAAATCAAATGTGTAATTCATGATCTCAGCAGTCAGTCTAATGATAATACAGCTGATATGAAGTATTTCTATAAGTATATTTGAAACTACAACTCTGCTCTGATATTTATATCTTTTAAGTACAAGTAGAATCTATATCTGAGTTGTCTGACTACTGATAATCTGATGCTATTTCAGATACAGAGAGAACTCTATCATCTGCAAGAGCTGTTAGAGTCTGAATCAGATAAAAATATCTATTTTATACAAATATGAATCTATAATCCACAGTTTGATACAGACTCTGCTATATATTCTAGCATATTTAATTATATCTGTATTGTATTACTTGCTGTTTGTTCATTTACTTTTCCATATTCTTTTTTTATATTGTTGACTGCTAACATTTCTAAGATTAACTCTTTTATTCAGCTTTATCAGTCTGTATAGAAGATACTACAAAGCAGCTCTACTGTATATATTGATTTGAACTCTGTTGTATAATTAAAGATAGACAATAACTGCTGCTGTGAGAATCTGTCTACTGTTTCAGAGATTGCAATTATTATACAGAATACTTTTAGTAATATCTGTTATCTCTATACTATTTTTCTGACACTATAATATTCTGATGCTGATTTGAGCTTTATATATATTGACTCTTACAGTTCATTATATCTTTCACTGCATTATATTCTACTTTTCTTTTCTAAAGATTATAACTGATATATTGATATGAATATACTTGCAGATCTTTCATCTATCTGCAACAGCTCTGATAATAATATTGATGATGCTGTTAAAAATAAAAATAAATATAGCAGCTGTAGTCTGACTCTGTATATATAGTATATATATCATCTTTTTCAATAAAATAATGTTGATGCTTCTCTTTTTCAGACTGAATATCTGTTTCAGTAGTATTTAGTTGATATCTATATCAATATTGATAAACAACAGCTGAATTGAATCTGCATTTATCAATCAGAAATCTGTGCAGATTAATATAATAATTTGTGTGATGCTATACAGATAGATAATATAGATTATAAACAGTTTGATCACTGTATAATATTATCTGCTTCTTATACAGATAGTGAATATTTTATATATAAACTGTTTCAGAATTCTATAGCAATTATCTTCAACTATAGATATTCAACTTTTTTTATTATATTTACAGCTAATTCTGAGTAAAAGAAGATTATCTATAAATTATTCTCTGATCAGACTGCAGCAGACTGCTCAGATTTGATTATATATATTTTTACAATGAAGATTTTTCATTTTCTTAATATTCTCAAATCTGAGCAGCTGTTTGAGCTGATATTAATCAGAATATAAACAATTGAATATCAAAAATATAAATTGTTTTATATATATCTGTTGATCTGACTAGAGAACTCTGAGCAGTTTTTATAATCTGAGATAATTGATAAGATTATATCTGCAGAGCTATCAAACACTGCTGAGAATATAGATAGATTGAATAAGTTGATCTATAAATTCATAATTTATGATTTATATAATATTAATGTAATGAGTCTCTGCTATAAGAATGACAGATATATAAAACATTTTCTCAAGACTTTTCAGAATACTATAACTGTTGAAGAGAATAACTATTCTCTGTATAGACAATAGTATAATCCATCT